TACATATATATACATATATATATATATGTATATATATATATATATATATATAGAGAGAGAGAGAGAGAGAGAGAGAGACAGAGAGAGATGCGTATGAATGTATATTATTATATTTATCCTATACATGATATATGTGTTTATATTTACATCCATACGGTATCTATATTAATTAAAAATATATATATATATTTATATATATATTTATATATATATCGTTTGGACAATATGTTTATCGTAAGAATGTTTATTATTAAAGGCGTATATATAATAAACAGATATATAATAACCGTATAAATAATAATAAACATATTAATAAGAGGTGTATTTCTGCAGTTTGCATTATTTTGGGGTGTATACACAGATAGAGAAATAAATAAATTAATTATTTTAATTGGTAGGAAATATAAACCTTTTGTCTTGTTGGGCGTCAGTTTGTTGCTTTGCTTGCTTCGTAAACCCTAAACCCTAAACCCTAAACCCTTGGGTGTGTGTGTGTGTGTGTGTGTGCAGCGGCTAGCGGTCGTTATTTGCTGGCTATTGAATCGGGAGGGAGGGTTTGGGGCAGCAACTGGCAGTCAGCGTCTCTGTCTCTCTTTGCTTCTGTCTCTCTTTCTTCTCCTGTCGCTGCTGCTGCTGCTGCTGCTGCTGCTACCTCTAGTAGTAATCAAGAACCAACAAGCAGCAACCCCATCTTCGTTGCTGCTGCAAATAAACTGCAAATCCTGCTCCCAGTCCCCTTCAAACACCAGGTGAAACACGCAAACCACCAGGGTTTAGGGTTTAGTGTTTAGGGTTTGGGGTTTAGGGTTTAGGGTTTAGGGTTTAGGGTTTAGGGTTTGTGGGGGGCGTGCAGCTACGGAAACTGCTGCTTGCGGGGCGTGTTGCCGATGCCTTGGATCAGCTCAATGCCAACTTCTCTTCAAAGGACCCCAGACGTGTAAACCCTAAACCCTAAACCCTAAACCCTAACTCCGGTAGAGAGACGGGTGAACTGTTTCTGTTAAGGGTGTGGTTCTTCATCGAGTAGGAATTAAAGGGTTATGGTTTAGGGTTTAGGGTTTAGGGTTTATTATTCGCCTGCTCTTCCCCTGGCGGTTCCTCCCTACATCAAGCACCAAGCTGAAGGTTTAGGGTTCTTGAGGGTTTAGGGTTTAGGGTTTACTGTTCTGGGACTTTCACACTTAAGGGTTAACGGCCTTTCAGGGTTTAGGGTTTAGGGTTTAGGGTTTAGGGTTTAGGGTTTAGGGTTTAGGGTTTGTGTTCAGGGGGAGGCTCTGGGTCAGTTCCACTTGCTGGCGGGTTGGAGCCGTTTTTCTTCTTTGAATTTTGCAGCGGCATTTAAACACTTCTGTCACGCGCCTCTCGATTTGGGGCATCTGCTGGGTAAACCCTAAACCCTAAACCCTAGACCCTCCCTCAACCCCCTAAACCCAAGGCCTAAACCCTAAACCCTACGCCTAAACCCTGGGAAGCCCTCATTTCTGAGATGGTAGGGCATTCTCGCTGCGAATGCCCTGCTGTACAACATCCTCAACACGCTTCCGTATGGCTTTGGGGTTCAGGGTTTAGGGTTTAGGGTTTAGGGTTTGTTGGCGCAGCTTTCTGGCGTCGGATGTGGCCTTCGTGGCTGGAGATGCCTTTGCTGAAGGAGACTGAAAATTTGCTTCAGCATAATCCCCCTTCATTAATACCACCCCCCAAAGAGCTCCCAGACTTCGGTAGGGTTTAGGGTTTAGGGTTTAGGGTTTAGGGTTTAGGGGTTGGGGTTTGGGGTTCAGGGTCCAACGACACTAGGGTTTATTCAGTGCTAGGGTTCCGGGGACCGGACTCAGCGTGTAGGGCTTAGGGCTTAGGGTTTAGGGTTTGCGTTCAGTCAGAGATATTACAACCAGGGAGAGAAAACCTACAGAAACGGAGGGGCAGCTAAAAGCGAAGCAGCAAGTCCTTGTGGAGGTACACCCCCAACCCTAAACCCTAAACCCTAGCTAAACCCTGAAGCCTAGCTAAACCCTAAACCCTAGCTAAACACTAAACCCTAGGATTGCTTTACCAACCTCCCTACTTGCAGGCAGCAATTTGCAATTCCAGGTGTCCAACGGCTGTGCAGGGTGTAAGCTTTAGGGTTTAGGGTTTAGGGTTTAGGGTTTAGGGTTTAGGGTTTGGGGTGTACGTGCAGATGGCGAACGGCGCTCTCTGTTCTTTCCTTTTGAAGCAGCGGCAGCTCCTGCGCTGCGACTACAACGGATTTTGCAGGTTCAGCATCAGCAGCAGCAGCAACAGCGCCTGCTCTGCTGCTGCTGCTGCTGCTGCTGCTGGAGCAACTGAAGCCCGGCAAAAGCAGCTGCTGCTGCTGCAGGCCATCGACACCATCCTCGTTAAGCTGCTTGTAAGCCCTAAACCCTAAACCCTAACTCTTGCCCTCGACGTTGTACGGAGACTAAATCAAATTTGGCTAGGGTTTAGGGTTTAGGGTTTAGGGTTTGGATTATCTCTGTGCTGCAGGTGGAAGCAGACGACATTCGGTGGCAGCAGCTGCTGCTTCCGCCGCCGGGCTCGTTGCTGCTGCAGCAAGAGAAGCAGCAGCATCAACAGCAGCAGCAGAAGCAGCAATATTTGGGGTGTACATGCAGCGTAGAAGACTGCCGTTTGTTTCTGCTCTCCATACACCGCACGGATGCTCTTGCTGCTTTGCTGCAGGTACCCAGCAGCCTTACCCCCAAACCCTAAACCCTAAACCCTAAACCCTAAAGGCAGCGTACCCTCTGCAAAACCTTTTTTCTTTAATTCTTTTTGCGGTGTATCTGCAGCACTCGGGGCGAACTGAGGAGGCGAACTGAGGAGGCGATGGAGCTGCTGGTGCAGCAGCAGAAAGGTAGAAGACAAGCTGTATCTGTCTCTCTGTCTCTCTGTCTCTCTGTCTCTGTGTCTGTTTCTCTCTCTTTCTCTCTGTCTCTGTCTCTCTGTCTCTGTCTCTCTGTCTCTGTCTCTCTGTCTCTCTGTCTCTGTCTCTCTGTCTCTGTCTCTTTTACCACCTTTGCTGTTTGTTTTGTTTTTTATCTGTCTTCATCTAATTAATTTTCTGTCTCTCTATCTCTGGTTGTCTCCTTTTTTATTTCCTTGTTGTCTATGTCTCTCTGTCTCTCTATGCCTCTCTCTGTCTGTCTCTCTATGTCTCTCTCTGTCTTTCTGTCTATCTGTCTCTGTCTCTCTGTCTGTCTGTCTATCTGTCTGACTGTGTCTCTGTCTGTCTCTGTCTCTCTTTTTCTGTCTCCTTGTTGTATCTACGCCCCTTTGTCTCTGTCTCTCTCTGGCTCTTTCTTTGTCTTTACTTTCTGTCTCTCTCTCTCTGTCCATCTGTCTGTCTGTGTCTCTGTTTGTCTGTCTCTCTGTCTCTGTCTCTTTATTAATTTAGCTGTGTTCTCTCTAGGGGTGTATAGGCAGCTCCACACCTACACCCTTTTTCTGTTTTATTTGCAGTTGGCTCCCGTGCATGCACACTGCTGCTCAAAGCATTTGAATTCAAATTAGGGTTTAGGGTTTAGGGTTTAGGGTTTGAGGTGTACGTACATTACAGAACAGACTCAAATGCGTCTCCTTACAAAACGGAAACAGCAATCTCTCCCTCTGACCAGATGCTGCTGTTGCTCCAGCAGGTGGTGCAGCAACAGCAGCAGCAGCAGCAGCTGCAGCAGCAACTGCAGCAACCCGAGCAGCAGCAGCAACAGCAGCAGCAGCAGGAGCAAGCGGCAGCACTGCTTCGGCGGTTTGCCCCTCTCGTTCTGCCAGCAAACCCTAGGAAGAGTCAGCCCTTGAAACCCTAAACCCTAAACCCTTGACCGATGCAGTTGATAAGCGCTGTCTCTGGCTGGCTAGCCTCTGCACTTCAGGGTTTAGGGTTTGGGGTTTAGGGTTTAGGGTTTGGACTATGTGTTGTCTGCAGCACTCGATCTATTCATGCAAAAGGGATATTGCCCCCTGCCTGCTGCGGAGGTGCTGCTGCTGCTGCAGGGTTTGCTGCGGGACCCGCAAATAGAGACAGAGCTCGCTTCAATCTACATTGACCGAGGTAACACACTAGGGTTAGGGTTTAGGGTTTAGGGTTTACGGCTTGTAGCCAGTAGAAACCCTAGACGCTAAAGCCTAAACCCTCGTGTTTGCTTTGTTTACAGCTTTAGCAGCAGCAGCAGAACGAGCAACAGCAGCAAAGGGAGCAGCAGCAGCAGAAGGGACAGCAGCAACAGCAGGAGAAGCAGCAGGGGCGCCAGGCGCAGCAGCAGCAGCACCTGCTGCTGCAGCAGATGAACAAAGAGAGCGGCTTCGCTGTTTCCTGCAGCAGCAGAGCAGCTACGATGTCCAGAGCCTACTGAAGAAGGTAAACCCTAAACCCTAAACCCTAAACCAGCACGTGTTGACAGGGGACATCGGACCGCTGCACCTGCGTCCTCCGTTGCTGCTGCTGCTTTTGCTGTTGCTGCTGCTGCTGCTGCAGGTGGCAGGGTCTGAGTTGATTGAAGAGAAAGCAATACTCTACGGCAAGGCAGGGGAGCACGAGTGGGCCGCAAAACCCTAAACCCTAAACCCTAGCTTTTTTTGTATGAGGAAAGATTATATATAGAAATACATCTACATATAAATATATATGCATACATGTTTATGCTTGCCTTTTATAAATATATATAATATAAATAAAGATATATATATATGTTATAAATAAATAAATATACATATATATGTATCTTTATATTTAAGTAGATATATGCATGCGTTCAGGGCTGCTCTTCTTTGCTTTGTAAAGGACAGGAAAGATGTGTTAGCAGCAGAGCGCTACTGTGCTGCAGCAGAGCAGCAGCTGCAGCCGCTGCTGCTGCAGCTGCAGCAAACAGAGTACGAAGATATGAAGAAAAACGAAAAACTGTGGTGTATCCCCATTGCAAAGGCGCAGCAACAGCAGCAGCAGCAACAGCAGCAGCAGCAACAGCAGCAGCAGCAACAGCAGCAGCAAGGAGGTATGCAGGGAGATGCAAAGACACCCGAATCTTTACATATACGGCTTAAACCCTAATTTCTAGGCAACGCTGTGTACAAAGGACTAGGGTTTAGGGTTTAGGGTTTGGGGTTTGTTTGTTGCGTCTACAGCGAATAAGCGTACATGTGGATTGCTGTTGCTGCTGCTAAAGGTACCGACCCCCTCACCCTCTGCCCACAACTCATTAGCCTCTAGTTAGGGTTTAGGGTTTAGGGTTTAGGGTTTACTTTTTGTCCGTGGTCTGTGCAGGTCCTGCTCCAATGCTGGCGCGAAGCCTCGGCTGAAGCAGCAGCAGCAACAACAACAGCAGCAGCAGCAGCAAACGATGCTGCAGCAGATGACACAGCAGCATCAGCGACTTCGCATGCAGCAGCTGCAGCAGCGGGAACAACCGGAGCAGCAGCAGCAGCAGCAGCACCTGCAGCAGCAACTGCAGCAGCAGATTTTTATTTACAGAATGCCTTGCTGCTGCTGCAGCGGCATGCAGGGTCTCCTTCTCTTCCGCTTCGCTCTGTTTTTAATTTGCTGCCAGGGGATTTGCTGCTGCAGCAGCTGTCTCCTTTTATTCGGGTGTCTATACAGCAGCAGCAAAATGCTGCTGCTGCTGCTGCTGTGCAGGAGAAGCTCTGCAGCGCCGACTACCTCAATGTATATACCCAAGCAGCAGAAGAGAAAAGCAAATGGATTGAAATCAACCAGGAAACGTAAACCCTAAACCCTAAGCCCTAATCGGCAGCCTTCCTAACCCCCTTAGCTCCCCTCCCCCTGCCCCGGTCATGGAGCTCTTAGCTTCCTCCTACGATAGCTAGGGTTTAGGGTTTGCGTTGTTTCCTAGTGCTAGGGTTTAGGGTTTGCTCTGTGTTCTAGAGCAAGGGTTTAGGGTTTAGGGTTTGCTTCGTGTTCTAGAGCAAGGGTTTAGGGTGTAGGGTTTGCGTTGTTTTCACGAGAAAGGGTTTAGGGCTTGCGTTGTTCTAGTTGTTTTCACGAGAAAGGGTTTAGGGCTTGCGTTGTTCTAGAGCTAGGGTTTAGGGTTTAGGGTTTGTGTTGTGTTGTAGAGCCTGTCCTCAATGTGCTCGAAGAATTGGAGGCCGAGGGTTTGCGGCTTTGCCTGATGGCCGTTGTCTGCATGTGCAGTGCAGCGAGGGTTTGGAGTGTACGTACACCTAAACCCTAAACCCTAAACCCTAATATATACTATGAACGCGAGACGAAGCCCTAAACCCTAGGCTGAATGCTTCTACTCATAGCGACACGCACCTTGCTTGTCTGCAAGCCAAAACCCTAAACCCTAGAAAACCCTAAACCCTAACCCTGCTCTTTGTGCGCTCTGCAGCCTTCACCGTCACCCCCCCCAATGTCGGCGGCTGTGCGCCCCCAAGATAAACCCTAAACCCTAAACCCTCGCAGGCTTGCAGTTTCTAGCCTGCTGCCTAACCCTAAACCCCCGCGGTTCTTTCGCTCGTTGGGCTTTAGGGTTTAGGGTTTTTCTTCGCTGCTTACTTTGAAATTTCTGCAGCTTTGCAGCGTCTCTTCCTAGGGTTTAGGGTTTACGATTTGAGCTCTGGTCTCGCTGGGCCAGCTAGCTGTGCAAGCTAGCTAGCTAGCTAGCTAGCTAGCTGGCAAGGCACCTAGCTAGCTAGCCAGACACCCCACCAGCGAGCTAGCTAGCTACAGCTCGGTTGTCCCCGAGCATACGGCAGACGGTTTATTACTCCATTTAAGCAGATAGCGAGTTAGCTAGTTAGCTAGCTAGCTAGCTGGCTAGCTAGAAAGCTGGTTAGCTAGGTAGCTAGCTAGATGAGTGCGTAGCTAGTTATACGGCTAGATAGCTAGCTAGTTGGCTAGCTAGCTAGCTAAGTGGGTAGCTAGCTAAAAGCTAATTCCTTTGACTAGCTAGCTAGCGGAAAACAAAGAAAAAGCATTTCGCTGAAGCAGTTCATTGCTGCTGCTGCTGCTGCTGCTGCTGCCGCCGCTGCTGCAGCAGCAGCTACGAAGCCAAAACCCAAACCTTCGCTTAGTTGCTGAAAAAATGTGTAAATCCCTCGCGGCGTTCATTTAAACCCTAAACCCTAAACCCTTGCTTCTCCCCGCGACGACAACAAAAGTACTACTAAAGCCTAAACCCTAATTCTTCAAACCCTAGACCCTAAACCTCCCCCGCTAGGGTTTGCGGGGAGGCAACCCTCAGCCCAAACCCCCGACGTATAAGGGTTTAGGGTTTATGGTTTAGGGTTTAGGGTTTAGGTGCTGTACAGCGAATATGCGGAAGCTAAAACCCTCGTTTTGTGCGTACAAATTTCCATAATATTAAAACCGTTGACCTGCAACACCCCGAGCGTAAACCCTAAACCCTAAACCCTCGTTTGGTGCGTCTTTAGGGTTCATGGGAAGGCTTTTTTTGTCATGATTGCATAGAAATCCTCAAAAGATATCTCTCCATCGCCATTAGAGTCAGCGCGTTCAAGCATCTCTCTCAGTTCTTCTTCACTTAAACTCTCGCCTAACTCTCTAGCAACTCTTTTGAGGTTTTTTAATGTAATAGACCCTGTCTTATCATCATCAAACAAATTAAATATCTTTTGAATACCCTCACGACTCTCCTTGTCCCCCTAAACCACAAAGCAAACCACCCTAAACCCTAAACCCTAATAAACCCTCGGGGACAAAAAACCCTAACCCTAAACCCTAAACCCTCGTGGGGAAAAACACCCTATGCCACCACAAACACTAAACCCTCATGCAAAAAACCCTTATCTGCAAACCCTAAACCCTCAGCAAAATATATATAGGACCCTAAACCCTAAAACCCTAAACCCTAAACCCTTAAAAGACACCAGCACAAAAAGACAAACCTCAGGTACCCCCAGCAAACCCTAAACCCTCAGTTACCCCAACAAACCCTAAACCCTCAGCTACCCAGCAAACCCTAAACCCTCAGAAGAAGGCCCCCAAGC